TGCCAAGATCAATAAAGTCCGAATCAGGTAAAACTTCATCATTTACTAATTTTTGCATCATTTCTCTTCATATATGACCTAAACGCTTATGCCATAAATAAGCAGATTTCTCATCCACAGATGCACGTTTTGTTCCTATTCTATGATGCAGGGTTAATAATGTCTCAGCAAACAAATTATCAAGATGTAATTCGTACAATCCATCACAAAGCATACCAAAACCAATTAAACAATTATATTTAAATAAACTGAAACATCCATTCCCAAACTTAAAAGAATATCCTTCTAAATCAAGTTTATATAAAGATATTAAATTACGAGATAACTCCGGTACATAAAGAGTATTAAACAAATCTAAATGATGTCCCGTATTTAAAATTAAATGATAGGTTCCAATGGCTTCAACTCGTGCTTTGACTTGATTCCCCATGTACACAAATCTTTCATTGTCGTTTATGATTTGGGTCATAAGGAATCCTTGCAAAGTATTAGAGATATGAGTGGTACATCCAGAATCAATCCATCAAGTATTATAAGGAACTTTCGATAAATATGATTCGAAACATACAAAAGCGCTAGGCTTACCTTTCTTTTCGAACCATGCCTTACGTTTCAGGCAGTCCCTCATATAGTGTCCAACTTTCTTACAGAAATGACAGTTTTCTTTAGTCTTATCCTTCTTATGGACTTGGGCAGAAGACTTGTTAATCTTCAGTGACCTTTTGCCCTTTCCATACTTCTTGTTGGATTTGTTCTTAACTCCAGACAAGCCCACAAGATCAACAAAATGAACTCCTTGTTTCTTCAATCTTTCCTCCTCTTGAACTAACTTAGTTTGAAGCTCAGTCATATTACATTTATCTTTAATTGTGTTATAATTAATTTGAAATGGACTAAACTGAGGAGGTAAAGAGTTAATGACAAACTGAACAAGGAAACTTTCGTCCACAGACATTCCCATGTTTCTAATTCTTGCTGCTATATTTGACATCCCAGTCACATGTTCACACATGCTACGAGAACCATCATATTTCATGGTGGTCAGCCTACTCATTAATGCCCCCGTGCGGGACTTGTCAGTGGCCTCAGACTGAAAAGTCTCTTTGGCTAATCTCATAAATTCCCTAGCATATTCTGTGGTAGGAAGTGAGGTCTTGATTTCGCTCACCACTGTCATCCGTAAATATTTCAAGCTCAATCTATTCGATCTCTCCCATTCCTTATGCAAAGACCTTTCTTCATCAGTGATGTTCTCAGTGAGATCAGCTAGTTTCTCTGTCATGAGTGTAAGGTCGAGATTTTGAACACCCAAGTAATACTCGACTTGTTCACTCCATTCATTATAATTGAACCCATTAAACTTAATAACAGATGAGGTGTGAAGAGCAAATGCTGCAAAACAAAAATTATGCTTACACATTAATGCTTTGAGTTTTACACCTTATATATAATTTCAGATTCAGATATTAAAATTTATTATTATTAAAACATAAATATATATTGAAAATCTCCTTTGGGAGAAATAACAATATACGATAATTAAACTTAATAAATGCAATCTTTTATGTACTTAGTTAGACATGTTTGTTATCTTTGGATATACTAAACACACCTAATCAAGTACATTAATTAACCACGATTATGTTCATAATTATAGGACTAACTAATTTAGCTTTAGGCGATCCTTAACTATCCTATAACATATAAAGTTCAAATTACTCATGTCCAATACATTATGTCATCTCATTAAAGCATCTAATGATCATGAGTAATTGAATCTTATTTAGTTTGATATCTATGGGATAATTATTTTAATTTGGCCACTTTGGTGACTAACAAATTATACATAATATAGTTGTCAAACTAAAATAATAACTATAAGTTTGTCATACTTATCTTTCTCTAAAGAAAATTATACTTTAGAAACTTATACACATTTCATGTGTCTAAACGCACATTAAGTACAAAATTGGGTTGATTTGACCCTCATTGTTAATTTTGATTGTCACAATTAACTTTGACGGTTGACCGTTAACTTTAATGGTTGACCGTTAACTTTAATGGTTGACCGTTAACTTTAACGGTTGACTGGTTTAGTCAATGGTCTGAACTGGTTTAACCCGTTGATCGGTCCGGTTTACCTTTTCGGATCCTAACCGGGTCAATTTGACCCACTTTTTCGTTTCGGTTAGCCCATTTTAACCTATTTGGGTTGACGCGTTTGACCAAAACGGGTTGGGATTCCTTATGGGTTATGGGTGGGCTTCTTTATGGGTTATTCTTAATGGATTTGAAAATTGGGCTCACTTAATAAGGCTTTAATCATTGGGTTAAGTCAATATTTTATGGGTCAATTATTGACTCGAATTTCTGGAAAATTAGATAAACTTCATACTCCGAATTTTTGGAATTTTTTTATTGAAAAAAGCTTCTGGATTCTGAAAATTTGCATTTCAGAATAAGAAAAAAAAAATCTACCACAGCCTTCCAATTTGTTAATTTCTAAACCCAAACTACTTTCTTAAATCTATTTTACCCAAACCATTCATATTTCACAATTTCCAAAACCCAATTAATTTATATATCCCATAAGAACCCTAAAAATAACTTAATGGAAAATTTATCAGTCTCTAAACCTGAAATAGCTCTGATACCACTTGTAAACTTAAAAGCAAACTCATCAAAAGAAAAAGAATCAATAATCAATTCATGTTTCTATGCCCTAAGTTGCACAAATATAAAATTATAGGATCTTGAAACTTGATGAATTTTCACATATATATAAAAGAAATACATACCTGATTCCATAGTTTGAAAATTAAAACTTGAATCTTGATTGAATCAAAATAGGCAGCGTTTCTCTCCCTTTCTTCCCTTCTGTAATCGCAAACTCTCTTGATGGACAGAGAAAAATTTTAGCGTACATTAGGAATAGAGAGAGGACCCACTTTTTATGTTGCAGTTATTTAATTAACTGCAAACATCAATTATTTTATTAACTGATGTAACATTTCCATCAAAGGTTAAAGACCAATATGCCCTTCAATTAATTTAATTATTACTAAACCTTATATTATATTTAATTCACATAGACCACTTTATAAGAATTATAAATAATTCTAACAGAAAAACTAATAAATAGAAAGTAGAAAATTCATTTTCACCTTTCAATAGGTTGTTGATACTTTACTTATATTTTTGAACCGATTATTTCTTTGGATAAACTTGTTTGTTATGATCTTTTGCATAGTCTCTACTCTCTATATTCTGAGAGTCCCTGGGTATAGCTAAATCTGACCAAGGGGAGAGGTTGTATAGTCTCTTATTTTCAAACATAGAAATTCTGAGTCCAAATTAATTCAAACTATATTATATTACAAACTTGGGAATCTATATATTAATTTTAACCAAAATATTATATTGTGCCTAGGACGAAAGATTGTTGAATTGATCATTCCTAATAAAGATGTACCCTAAATGAACAATTAATTTTTACCTACTATGACATTATAGAATAATATTAACACCAAGGACAAGAAACTTACCACATTAAATTGAACAGTTAATGTATTTATACTTAATTACCAAACTTTTTGAAATCATGAATAAAAAAATATTATGACAAGGAAAAAAAATCCTTAAAACGGGTATATAATAATCAATTAATTATAAAGTATTACGTCAACATGTATGACATATATTCGTCTTATATTTGATTGGTTATACATACATCCGTTACATAGGAAACTATTTTATTTGGAATAAATCATCTTAGAAGAATGATAATTGTGTTGCAAGGTATGTCCCTCTATTTCCTTAGAGCCTAGGTTGAAATTGAGCGGGCTAGGCCTATAAACTACTCTTCAGCCCAGTGTTATACGTATGGGCCCGGCTCGGTGCGGCCCAGGCTTGGTCCACTTGATGGAATCATTCCTATTTTCATATAATCCCTTTATCAATGCATCGGAGCCGTCCAGTCCACGTGGAGCCCAACTTTATTTGTCCATTCCGACCTGGACGATCCTGATCTATCTGGATAAGATCCGTTATTTGTCCACGGCATATACTGAATCTTCTTCTACTTTTTCTTCTCTTTAATGATTTATTTAACTTTAACAGGGGATGATTACATTTGGATCCCTTACATTTGGTATATAAAACAAGATCCTATAATTTGAAAAATCAACGGGTAAATCCAGGATAATTTTTTTTTTAGATTCATAATATAAACGAACAATTTATAAGTTAACAACTAACTTAGGAGGTGTTTGTCTAAGCTTATAAGCTGGTCAACTAGCTTATAAACTCTAAAATTAAGCTGACCTGTTTGTTTATAACTTTTTTGAGCTTATAAGTTAAAAAAATAAGTTAGGGGGAAGGTACTTTTTTTTTTTTTTTGGCTTATAAGCACTCTGTTTATAAGCTAGTTTGACCAAGTATATTACCACATTATCCTTATTTAATTTTAAAATTCCTTAGTATACCCTTGTTTAATGTAGTACCTTTTTTAGTCATTTTATAATAAAATATACTTATAAGCCACATTATACCAAACACGTCAACTACTTATCAGTCACTTATAAGTATTTTAACCAAACATATAATTGCTTAAAATTTCAAATACTTATAAGCTAATTTTCATAAGTTCAGACAAACACCCTTTTATTTTACTGCGTTTTGTTTCACAGACAACTAAACATTTTTTATTTTCATTGAATTAATTATAAAAACAATTATCCTAAGCCTTCATCAAAAACACTTTCCAAAAAAATAAAATCTACAATAAATTTCCTATAAAAATCAAGTTTTTATAAATTGACGACATCAAAGATAGATACGTTGATAACGATATTTACAAATTACTATTAGAATTTATATTGATTTTCCAAACAATATATACTTAAGGTTGTTAGCTCAAAGGTCAAGGACTTTTCTGATATTACACTTTTAATATTCATATCCGAATAAAGAAAAATAAAATAAAAAATAAATCAGAGAAAATGGGAAGCGGATGCCGAGGAGCGTTGCTCTGCAAATCCTCCTCACTCTCCTTTCTAATTCCTTCTTCTTTCACTTCGTCTCATCTCAGATTCAACAAATCAATCACCAACTCCAACTCTTATCGGATGGCCACCGAGGCTTCGTCGCCATCTTCCGCCACTGGCGGTGACACTATCAATTCCTCGGCAAATAAAGGCGCTGCTTGTTCTGCTGCTGCTGCTTCTTCTGCGTCCTCTGCTATCGACTTTCTCTCCCTATGTCACAGCCTTAAGGTGTTTTTTAAATTATAAATAAATTATTTCTAGTTTTATTTAGTATTATTATTTTTATAATTGTTTATGTTCTGTTTTGTTTGGTTGGTGAGAAAGTGAGTGAAAAGAAAAGGAAAGAAAAGGAAAATGAATTTTTATTCATTTATTCTATTTTTGGATGTTGAAAAAGCTAGAACAGGAGTGTTTGTACCTTTTGGTTGAGGTGCATTTAGATAAGAAAGCACTCTTTAGAGAATGCTGTTTTTAGGTGCTTTTCTCTAATTGTACCTTCACGTGCTTCTGTACGAAGCTGCTTTTCTACAAAAAGAATTTCTAAACGGATTCTTAGATAATCGTGTGATGATTAGCTAAGAGAAGGATTTCTTTTTATTTATTTATTTATTTTTACTCAAATTTAAAATATATGAGGAAATTGTGGATTTCTGGATTTTTTAGTTTTAGCTGTTTATACGAGAACCAAGCTCATTGTTTCTAGTATTTCATTTTTTAAATTGGATGAAGCTAATATGCTACTCTAGAATTTGTTCCATCGATAACATAATGTAGATTAGTGTTTTTTTTCTTGTGTGTGTGTGTTAGTATTAAGATCGTTTAATTGTTTGTGGTTGATGTGTTATTGATTTGTTTAATGTTGATTAGACAACGAAAAGAGCTGGATGGATTCGGAGAGATGTTAAGGATCCGGAATCTATAGCTGATCATATGTACAGAATGGGATTGATGGGTCTGATTATGGCTGATATTCCTGGCATTGATCGAGACAAGTTAGGGATCATTTGCTTTTACTTTTATTCATTCTATCAGTTTATTTAGACAAACTTGATTGAAAGATTAATGAGTAGTATAATTTGAGATTTTTGATCTCTCAACTTTCAGGTGCATTAAGATGGCAATTGTTCATGACATTGCAGAAGGTGAAACACTGTTCTCTCGTTCTCTCCTTTCTTTTTTTAATTTAATTTTCTTGTGAATTAGGAATTCAAATACTTGACAAAACCTCTGGTTCTGTTAGGACATTATAAGATGGTGTGAACAGTGAAATTGATGGGTTATATTTTATTTCAAGTTATATTTGATAGTTACAAACTCACAATGCATGCTGTTTTAGAGGTATTATTTTTTTCTCCATTCTCATGAATATTTCTACTTTGTAAAATTTACTGATGATGACATTGTAATAATTTAAGCTAATCATTACTCTTAGATAGGAAATTTTAGGTTTATTGAAATATCCTTTCATAAAGATAACTCAAAAGCCTGGAATTAATGATTTGGTTCCATTTGACAGTGCAAGTGGATTGGATTTAGTCATACTGAAATTTGCTCAATTTTATTTGTTTACTGGAAAAACACAAATTTTGGTGTTGTGAAATTTTAAAATAATAATCTGCTAGAATCTGTACCCTCTATCTTTATTGGATATTATTTTGCCATAAAATTTTTCTTGAGTTGAGTTTGTGTTGGTTTCTGACTTTTTAATTGTTTAAATAGCAATTGTTGGTGACATTACCCCTTCAGACGGGATTTCAAAGGCAGAGAAGAGTCAACGAGAGAGAAAAGCGTTAGACCACATGTGCAAACTACTTGGTGGAGAGGCAAGAGGTACTTCTCTGTGTGTGTGTGTATTTGTGTCTGATGTTAAGAGACTGATCTTTTCCCTGTGCCTGGAAATGGTTTATAATTTCGTGTTCCTGGCTGCTTAATTTTAATTTGCAAATTGCAGCCAAGGAAATCAGTGAGTTATGGATGGAGTATGAGGAAAATTCTTCAGCAGAGGCCAAAATTGTCAAGGACTTTGACAAGGTATATGTTATGAATTTATATCCCTCTTGTTTATTAATTTAAGTATGGTGCTTTATTGAATTTTAAGTTCTGTTATTTGCATTATACTCAAATGTGCACAACGAGGATTAGTTTCTTCTTAGATAAAAAGAAAGGACTTAGTACGTCATTCATTATTTCCATAGTACAATGGTCATCACAATTATTCATCCAATTATGGTATTTTCTTTTTATATTTAAATTTTTTTATAATCTGTTGATAACTATTGATTTAAAGATTTTAGCTGTTTCTTAAAATTGTTGGTGTTAATAATGACTTATGTGCTCATTAGAATTGTTTTTGGATTTTGTTGTTTTTTCTATTGTTAGTTTGGAAAGAGGTTGGAAGAATTTAGGTCATAGTTTGTGAAAAATATTCAGCGATAAATACCAAATCATATATAGATTAAGATGCAAATGGCCAACAGGCCATGGTGGCAATTAAGTGATGTTGGCAATACATGCAGAGTTGATTGTTAAATCATGTTTTTATTTTAATTGATAGTTTGTTTCTGATTATCTGATTTGCTAACTGGATAATCTCATTCTGGTAATATCTCTTTGTCTAGGTGGAGATGATACTTCAAGCTTTAGAATATGAAAATGGTAAGGCCTCCTATTGCTGATTTTTTATTTACCACTCTGTACTTGCTTGTGTTTTGCACGGTTTGCATGAAATATGATATTTCTTAGCATGTTCATTTGTTATTTCCTTTCAGCATTGTATGCTACTGGTGAGCAAATAGATTGCCCATTTTGATGTTTTGCTTCTCTTTGATGACAAATAATTATGAGTTGAAATGAATATAGTCTACTTGCTACTTGCGTAAAATCGTTCCATTTTCATTTTACTTTAAACGTTGAATGATATTTCTGGTGTCAAGCGGTTAGAAAATTTTACTCAGGAAACTAAAATTTATTCTTGCTTAATGCAGAGCAAGGGAAGGATTTGGATGAATTTTTCCAGTCAACTGCTGGTATAATTACTGAACCATCTTATTAGTTTCCTACCTGTTGATTTTATATCTCTCATAATGATTAAAATAACAATGCATAAATGGCTTTTTATCTGTACGAAGTTGATTGGAGGTGAGATTCTGTTGTTAAAAACTTAAAATTAGAGAATTTGGGAGTCGACATCATATAGAAGTTTGGCTTTCTGAATAGCTATAGATGAAGAGGCATGCTCACATTCTGTCTTAGACTATGTTCCTGCTAGTTAGAAGAAGGACAAGAGAAACCACGAAAAAGTGCATTTGATTTCTGACTTTTTTGTAGTTATTGGTTAGCAATCCGGGTCTTTTGCTGTTAAGAAAAATTTTGCGAAATTACTTTCCGTTGGTGTTCTCATCATACAGAGCACAATGGTCATGTTCGTTAAAGCATCAATCTTTGCCACTCTCTGCAGGAAAGTTTCAGACCGAGCTTGGGAAAGCTTGGGCCAAGGAAATTGCATCGAGGAGGAAAAAAGAGAATTAATTTGACACCTTAACTGATGTTAGGAAATGTTCTTGTTACTCACCGCCCTGACTCCTGACGCAATGTTATTACCTTCATCCATTTGTTAGTTATATATATCGGCAAAATTAATAACTTGTCTCATACCAGAATTTTGCAGCACTTAGCTTCTGGTAATCTCTGTTTCTTTTTTGCTTCAAACAGTCATTTATCATGCTTTCATTTTTGTAGTTCATCATAAATTCTGAAACAACCAAAGTAGCAGTTTTAGGGTTACTGAAGCAACTGTGAGACAGTGACAAGTTTGCGTGATGGATGTTGGAATCTAAAACTGCCTCACCAGTGCATAAACTTTCCTAATAGATGTTTGTTTCAAGTGATAGTCTAAAATAATATAAGATTTAGATTTTGGTTTTAAGTGAAAACTAAAAATCAATACACTTTATCAAGTTGATAACTAATCCATTGATTTCAGTACAAATATATAGAGTTGGTACTTGAAAACATTATTGTAAACAAATTATTATTTTGTTCCAAGATATTGAGAATTTTTTGGATATTAAATTTTAAAAAAGACAAGAAAATCTATAATATATCTATCTATCTAAAAATATCTGAATGATAAATTTTATATGTTTTTATGCATTATGATGTTATGCTTATTATATTACTGGATAAGAATAAATTTATCTAGAAACAACATAAATTTGAGCTGTTAGTATACCGTCTAGAGGTATTTACATGATTGTCCCTATATTATTTATTTTAACACCAAAAAATTAATAGTAAGAGAATTTGTGTTATTATTATAACTATATGAGGATTTTATTATTTAATTATATTTTAGGAGAATTATTGTTGTAAACCCTATAATATATAGGTTTAGTGATATATTTATGTGAATCCTTTTGCAACTAAAATCGTCATCTTACCGCATCAAATTAAAGATATTATTATACTTCTTATGTTTATATCTAAGATAGAATTTGATATTCTCAAGTTAAATTTGTATTAAAAGGTAAATTATCTATTGAAAATACCAAATTAAATTTGTACTAAAAAGACACGGCGTAACTTCACCTAGTAAACGGTCATGCGAGAGGAAAAATAATCCAAATCTGAACAGTCTGAACTTTAATGCATGTACGATGAGAGGGAAAAGTGGGGTATCTCCGAAATTGCGGCTCATATAAAACAAACAGTCTCCTCTCTCATTCGATTTTGATTGGAGAAAAGAAAAAACCCTAAACCCTTGAACATCAACAGCATTGTAACTTGCATCAACAAACTCTTAACCATTTTGCACCAACAGGAAAAAAGAGAAAAATTAAATTGCACAACTGATTTCAACTCTCTATCTCCATGGGCTTCCTTCGAAGCTCTCTTCGTCTTCGCTCTTCCTTTCTCGTAATATATATTTATATATATTTTTTGTGTATTTTCATAATTATAATTAATTATTATTATTATTATCATGTGTAAAAATCTACATGTAGTATAGTTTAGGTTTTGAATCAGAGAGACCGCTACATTTATTTATTTTTATTTTTTTATTGCAGAGGAGGAGCATTTCTCATGGAGCTTCGAAAGGTTTGTTCTGTTTTGTTTCGCTTCTTTCTTTGAGCTTCGATATAGTGGCGATACAGTTGCTTAATTGATAACATGGAATCTTGATTAAGTATTGTTTCGGACGTGTGTTTGTTGAGAGTGATTTTGAGATGCTGAGCCTTTTTTAGTACTTAAACAGCATTCTACAAGACTAGTTAAAACTGTTTTCTGGAACTGTACTTAATTTATGAAAAATACTGTCAAATTCTTGTTTAAGAAGTGATTCAAATGCCTTTTGTCTTCTTTTTGAAAGTGTTTCTTTTTCTTTTTTGAAGAAAGTGTACCTGTTATGTGTTTTTTGGTCTCAAAAACACTATGGAAACACAATAAAATTGACACAAAGGTGCTTGTAGTGGTGTTGTGGTGTTGAAAAACGCTCCTAAACATATGACTGATCATTTTTATGTATTTTTAAATGTATGTATCAATCCATTAGTAAAATTGCTGGCATTTACTTCAATTTTTAGGTTTATGTGGAAGCTTTCCGTGCTACAATACAGTTGCGTCTCCTGAGCAAACTATTGTGAAGATTGAGAGGGAACTTACACAAGTTACTGATAATTTGGCTATTGATAATGAAATAGTTGATATTCAGCGTGAATTTGAAGCTGCAAAGCTGAATTTTCTTAAGATTCCTAAAGCGTTGAAGGAAATGCCGAAGATGAATCCTAAAGGTTTGATGGTGCTCTGTTACTTTTAAGCTAAACCTAATGGTATCAATTTTTTCTTTCTTGGATCTTTCTGTTGGGTGTTGTTATTATGTATGCTGTAGGTATATATGTGAACAAGAATCTGAGGTTGGATAATATACAAGTTTATGGATTCGACTATGACTATACTTTGGCACATTACTCATCTAACTTGCAGACTCTAATATATGATCTTGCGAAGGAGCATATGGTCAATGAGGTTAGTTTAGGCCTGTTGACGTAATGTTGTCACACAGTTGATTTTGATTTTGTAGTGCATGAAAAAGTGTAGTTTAATGTCGTTGTGGCTTCATTTTTGCAGTTTCGGTATCCTGAGGGTTGCATGAATTTTAAATATGATCCAACTTTCCCAATCAGAGGCCTCTATTATGAAAAGCAAAAAGGGTGTATCTTAAAATTGGATTTTTTTGGTTCAATTGAGCCAGATGGATGCTACTTTGGTCGTCACAAGGTATTTCACGGTTAACTGTTTTGACATGAATTTCTGCCTGTATTTAATGTGCCATATTTTTGTATATTGTTGCGTATTTAGGGATTCTTGCATTGGTTATCAGATTATATGTCCTCACCTCTAGCTTAGTTTAAGAGAACACATTCCATAATACCCGAGGATTTCAGACTTAGTTCAAGTAAGAAGTTCATAATTCATTCGTTACCAAGAATTTTCACAACAAATTCCTATGATCAGTTGTGTTTTGAACGTAGAGAAATTGCAATTAGGATTGTGTAAAGAGTGGATTGAGAGTTGGTGCTCTATCTGTATTCATTATAAGAGGCACAGCTTATATGTCAAGAAATTAAGAGCTTATTATTCTTGTGAACAGTTGCAAACGGAAAGATACCAACTTGTTACTGCCTGCTTTGCATAGGCAGGATAATTAAATTATCACCATATCTTTAGACAACCAAGGATTCTTGGCAAAGAACTTAGCCTATTATCTGTAGATATAGATCCAACCTGACAAAAACATCAAGAACTCAAGATGTGTAACATTTCAACCAAATTCTTTCCTTCTTCGATATGATAAGAAATATGATGAAACTGGACAAAAACATGGATAGAAGAAGTATTTGAATTTCAATATTGAGATTGTATTTTTCTTTTACTGTTTCTTATTTTTTAATATTCTTTACAGTTAAGTAAGAAGGAGATAGCAGAGATATATGGCACAAGACATATTGGCCGTGATCAAGCGCGTGGGCTTGTTGGATTGATGGATTTCTTCTGCTTTAGTGAGGTTAGTGCTACTGTAATGCTATTTTCCATAGTTATGCAAAGATGGCTTTAATAAGTGGACAAGTTTTCACTGTGTACTGTATTACATGGGATTGGTGGTGTTTAAAGGCAAATGAGAGCTGTAGTTAATATCTTTGAATGTGGGGTAAATACATTGAGGCAATTGATGGATATGTTTGGATGCAATATTGACATGTATCCTGGTTCTCTTTTTTCTATAGCTCAAAGGAATAATTCGTTTAATAAAACTATGACAACACTTGCTATAAAGATGTTCAAGCACACTTATACAACAAGAGAGAGGAAAACCAATATGGATATTGAGCTAAAATAGCCAAATACTTACTGAGAGTTAAAATTAATCTTCACATATTTCATTATTCTATGATAATTGTAACTTCTTCTAGCACCTTTAACTTTTCCTTCATATGTTTCATTATTTTATAATTAATGCTTTCCATTGGCTCCGTCTGACTGCATAGATTTTTATGAATCTCGCATAATATTTTCCTTTCCTCTATTACTTTGAAACTCCTAAATGTATTGCATCAACATTATTGTGTAGGCATGCCTTATTGCAGATATTGTGCAACATTTTGTTGATGCGAAACTGGAATTTGATGCTTCCTACATCTATCAAGATGTAAATCGCGCAATTCAGCATGTCCATCGGAGTGGCTTGGTTCATAGAGCAATGCTTTCTGATCCTTACAGATATCTAGTTAAAAATGTAAGTCATAATTATTTTCATGTTGTGTTTGTTAGGTAATAGTCTAACTTACAATTAGAGATGTCAAATAAGTCAATTTGCCACCTATTTTAAGGTCAATAGATTCATTCAATTATATTGTGCACATTTTGTGTTGTAATAGAAAATTATGTATTGTTTTATACAGATTATATTTAGTCGTATAGTTTTAATCATGTTAACCTAATTTACCCCTTTGACATCTCTACTTATAATGGGATTGCCTTCTCTATGACTTGAAAGAAACACTATTCTAGAATCTATTTATGCTGTTACTGTGGGAATTTGTGTTCATGGTTATATGGTCCATGTTTCAGGGCCAAGTGCTTCGTTTTCTCAGGATGCTGAAGGAGAGAGGAAAGAGACTTTTCTTGCTGACCAACTCTCCTTACTATTTTGTGGATGGAGGGATGCGTTTTATGTTGGAGGTACTTACATTTAATTCCATTAAAAACCTTGAATGACATTGAAGAAATCGAGGTGTTTTATCCCAGTTTCAACTCATAGTATTCCCACTGAACTACTGGGAAATGATTTTTTTGCATGTTAATTTGGTAAATTTTAACATGGTATTCGATTGATTTCTTTTTCAGGTTAATCTAGTAAATTGCAACATGGTATTAGAGTTAGGTTGACCCGGTGGTCTTGTGTTCAATTCCTCCAATTGCAGAAATTGAGTTACAATATGATGTATTTGTGTTTATAATTGTGTTGATTCACGTGTCTTACACGCAAGAGGTTGTTAGAACTTCAATAGTATGGTTGCTTGACATGTGAATAAGAAATAGGCACCATTTTAATGTTAGTGTGGTTATCAGTTTTATATTTCAAACTTCCAAAATTGTGGTCGTGACTGGGAATTATATGTTAAGTTATTTTAATTCTCACGTCTTCTTCCTGTTGTTTGATATTTCAAAATGTTCTTTACAGGACTTTGTGAGACTTTGATTATGTATTATTTTTAAAGGTCTGATACTTAGAATCTTATAAATAATATAATTTGCAATCTGACCAACTGGCATGTATTTGGATGAAGATTAAATAAATTAGATATGAAGGCCAAAATTTGAGAATGCTCTCACTCTTGCAAATATTTTTGTTATATTGTTTGTTGTCTTTATATCTGTATTGGTTGATAGTAAATCTCACTGATCTTGTCATTTTCATTAGGATTCTCTGGGTTGTAGAGATTCATGGAGGGAGCTTTTTGACGTTGTTATTGCCAAAGCCAATAAGCCAGATTTTTACACATCTGATCATCCATTCCGGTTTGTAACTTCAACTTGTTAATTCTTTATTTTTTTCTTGCAGTTTTTTTGCTTTACCACCGGCATTGGGTTGTGTTTAGTATTTTACCATTTGATTTTCTTCGAAATATATAGAAGGACATATGGCAGGGTGTAAAATTCACGTGAAAAAATCTTGCTATGCTTCACAGTTAAACCAGAGAGAAAAATTGTGCTCATAGGAAGAGCAAAAGAGAATGCTATTTGAGAGACATAGTGGAATATAATACCTAATAAGTCGGGGTTCATTTAGTTCTTTAACCTATAAAAGACTTCTGAGTTCTCCTTCTCACTTTTTTTTTTAACGTTTTCTATGTTTGTTGCTTTGAGTTATCTCACTGCCTCCTATGCTAATATGCTGTTTGATCTATGGTCCGGAACTTCCATGTAGCTGCTATGATACAGAGAAGGACAATCTAGCTTTTTCAAAGGTGGACGTGTTTCTTCCCGATAAAATTTATTACCATGGATGTCTTAAACAATTTCTTGAAATTACTAAGTGGAATGGCCCAGAGGTATGCCATATATATATATATATATATATATATATATATTTTAGCAAACAATTTAACTGAGACATTTGTTTTTACTTGCTTGTTAAAAAAGTTGAAATTTGAATGGCTTTAATCACTTTGAAAACTCTTTTTCTTGACAGTTGGTAGATTTCGCCGTTTCAATTTTTTAAGTGAATAGTTGCTTCTTTCTTTTGTTAATCTTCTTTTTCTTGTTAGGTGATATACTTTGTGACCACCTATTTAGTGACCTAAGAGGGCCATCAAAGGCTGGTTGGGCACTCGGCAATCTCCGTGAGCTAGAAGTATTTCTCTTTTCACATTCTTCCGCTTTGTTTCTTAAATGTTTGTAACTATCTATTTGAATTTAAAGTTTCTCAGTTGTGCCTTGAATTTTCTTTTTGATCGTTGGCAATTACCTATATGTCTTTGTCTTAGTATTGATTTGTTCTGGTGTAAGGCTTATCTGGAAATTTGACTGCATTTTTGCAGCTTTCATTAAAAGCAATTGCTATCACATCTGATGGATAGAAAATTGTCTAAGCCATGACTGATTCTTAAGTCCCTAGCACTTGTGGTGGATTCATGTCAGAAGAGAGGAAGATTTAACAAAAAAAGTTAAAATTAGCCAATTCTAAAATCTTTCTGTAGGCAAAGTTTTTTTTTTTTTTTTTTTTTTTAAGAATTATATCAAAAGCTACTTGACTTGGTGAGTTGTGACTATGAATAATGGTCTTTGTTATAGAAAAGCCTGCACAGTGGTTTTCTAATCGTAAATTCCCTGTGAGATGTCCTTGCTTTTCATTATATATTAGTATTACAGTCCAAACTTGTTATATCTTAAGATCTTTGTGGTTGTTTTATGATGCAGAGTGAAATACATATACAAAATGAGGACAATTATCGACTTGAACAGGTACGGTTCAGTCCTTCTATTCGCTTTTTGAGAATTAGTGTCAGTGTCTCATATGTATTAACAGTATGATAAGATGGTTTGTTGAACAAATCAACAGTCAAATGTCAATTTCTTTTTCAGTTCAAATAAAATTTCTTTAGAATCAAATTCTTTTTTGATTGAAGATGAGCTTGGACTCTTCTTTTAGTTCTTTGTTCTTGTTGGTGCAGGCAAAATTTCATATAATACAAGAGTTGCTTGGTAAATTGCACGCAACAGGGCAATAGTCAGAAAACTGAAGCATGCCAATCACTTTTGGATGAGCTTAATGATGAGAGGCAGAGGGCACGCCATGTGATGAAGGGAATGTTCAATAAATCTTTGGAGCCACTTTCCTCACTGACACTGGCCAAGAATCTGCTTTTGCTTATCATATACATCAATATGCAGATGTGTACACCAGTAAGCTTGAGAACTTTTTGTTATATCCACCAGAGGCATGGCTTCATGTTCCATATGATATAAGATCATGCCACATCATCTTAAGGTAAGCAGCCTTTTTTATGGTGGGGGAAAAAGATCTTTTAATGGTAAAATTTTGTGAATATTCATATTCCATCTTCCTCGTTGGTGGTCTTGATTCTATATTGCTTTCAGTATTTTTGTTGATATGCATATTTTTCCGTACAAAATGGGCAGAAAGAAGGCACTGTCTTCATCCTTTGTTGGATGTTTCCCCTAGAGTGGGCCACTATATACGGCCTTTCTTTTTATATTTTACAGCTCATATACTATCCCTCTGGAACTTCATTCATCCTACAATTATTGATATATTATTTGCTTGGTTTCCTGTCTGAACAAATGAATGAAGCTGATTTGTTTTCTGTCTAGATCAGCCTGGGTGTTCCTTGCTTGTCTCAAGAAAACATCGCTTTTGTTTCTAGGCATCATATGAAAGCTGAATTCTAGTGTAGTGAGTGTTGTTTTTTCTATGAATCGGGATATAAACCAGTCAATCATGGTTATATCATGCTTGTCCCTGAATGTTGAAACTAAAGAGAAAGGAAAAGCAAAAGTCAACCAAATTGAAGAACGAAAGGAGAATGATCCCTTTTTCATCGGGTCACATTTTTTATTTTCATCTTCTGTTTTGTTTCTGTTTTCGTTTCCCAAACATTGGTTAGATGGTCAACTGTATGTTTAATTATTGTTACATCCTTGACATTTGATCTTCACAACTTTCGTAATGACACTTTTCTTGTTCTTTCAGGTCCCATCTAGCTGTTCAGAAATCCATGATAGCGCATCCTAATTCTTATATGGTGAGGTAATTTTGCCTTTGTTCGGTGTTGCATTCATTCTTAAACGTGACCATTGATGCGCTCATTCATTTATGATTTAACAATAAGGAGAGGTGGAAATGGGATGAATGGCCGGAAAGAAAAAGTTTTTGGGAACAGACTACAGGTTTGGCAAATAATTTGTGACATGTACGTGACATTAAATGTGTATTATCATTCTTTCAACTGCCATTTAAGGCCTCTATTGCTGTCGAGTTTAAACCAAATTTGAGAAGAAAAAAATGAGAAAAGTTGAAATATACAGTTAGTAGAATCTCAATTGTATCTATACGAAATCTACTCTTGGTTCTGCTATTTTCTTCATTTGCACTCTGAACTAACGAAAGTATATGATCAATGAACTGCAGTGAGCATCCAAGTTGGCTTGAATTTTTTCTATACTGTTATTGATTGTCATTTGTTCGTGACTCAATTTTTGTGTGTTAACGCATTTGTACTTTGAGCTGACTGTGGATACCGAATGGAAAATTCAAGTTCATTGAAATTTGAAGTGCTTTTCTTCAAATTTGTATCTTTGATTTTGTAGCAAATGCATATGAACCATAGGTTAACTTGACTTATTGCAGTCACATTCTCTGATTCAATGGCAGAAGTAGCGCCTGCTGAAACACATGCTAGCCGCAGCACTGCCTACTTAAATCCTGCATTGTGCCCCTTTTCATCATACTATGGATTTATGACTGTTTTGATATGTTTAGTCTGAACCTTCCTTCATGGTGCCATGTCGTAATATGCTTCAGTTTTCCTCCTTTATCTCCATATTTTATGCAAACGACAAAATATTTTTAAATAGTGTTACATGTCAAATTGATAGGACAAAGACTTTTCTATTCCACGTTATTCATTTAAATTTATTAAGCATTTATTGAGTTTATTAGTGTATGGCACACCAATTTGTACGAAAGAGTTTCTTCAATATTTTCAGCTCAAAAATCAAGCCGGCTTTTTCAACTGCAATTTTTTAAACCCTTAGGAAGGTGGTTGGTCGATTTCTGGCTTGTTCTGTTGCCGCTCTTTAGAAAATTATTTAATGTTATTTTAAGCTTATTGTGTTGGTGAGAATCTCAAACTTTGAATTTGGTTTGGAAACTATAAAATAGCTGGAGAAATGTCAAAGCTCATCCATTGATCAAGTTTTACCTTGATCAAAATTTCAACAAGAGAATTAGTCATTATATGTGTTCCAAATGAAACTTCAATTATTGATGCTGTTTAGTTTAGGTAATTGGGCAGATTTTTTTTCAGTCTTCATTAATTTAATTCTTTATAATCTTATGTCATTTCCTCTCAAAGTCTCTTTAAACTTATATTTTTAATTGACATTCAAATCTTTACCTACCCTTTCATTTTATTCTTTATTTTATTTGAAAGATGTGTATTACTTGGTCGTTCGTTTCTCGTTTTAGTCCTTTTTTTTTTTTTTAAGTTTAAAATAAGAGAGGAAAAAATAAGAAATTACATGTATAACTGAAAAATTGAAAGCACAACAAATATGAAAAAGATGTTTTCATCCTACAATATTTATATTTGTCATAAGAAGATAATATAAATAAAATAACTACACTAAGTGGTCCAACGGTCAATGGATCTTGGGTGTATTATTCAGAGATTTTAAGTTATCTACCTGGGTTGCTAATAAGGGTGGTTATAGCAGAGATTACCCAGTTCTAACTGTAGGACAAAATTAGTGAGATGGCCTGAACACCCTGATTAAAAAAAAAAAAAAAAAAAAGATAATATAAATGTGTTTTCGCAATTTATTTTAGATAGGTTTTCAAAAGACAGTAATGAATATACTTTCAAGTTATTTTCATTTTCAAAGTCATCTTGAAAAAAAAAATGAATGTCAATAATGGAAGTTCTTTTAATGTTAAAAAATCTTAAATTATATTTTAAAAACATTCAAATTATTAAATCTTGAAAATGTGTTTGACATTTCAATTTTTTACAATAAAAAAAATAGAAATAATATGTTAACTGAAAAACTGAAAGCATACCAAATGTTTTCACCCTCTACTCTATTATAATATTTAATATTTGAAGTCCAATCATGAGAGGAGGAAATAGAAAGTGTCAAAAGCCTTAGAGGCTGTACAACATCGTCAACCGTTAGATTGTTGGATAACCATTCTTAAGCTTATTTCTTACGTTTTTCCCAAGCCGTGCATTATTTATTCTTCTCTTTTTGGTTCTCTAATTAAGGCCAATCAAACTTTGAAGTAAAATCAAAATTTTGTCACATGCTCAATTATTGGTGGGTATTCCACGTTAATAAGATAAGAGTAAGATTTTTATTACAGTCCCTTTCGTCGCTGCTACCTACGTTTTATGGCTTCATAGGTCAATATACTTAATATATTAGTTTATGGATGGCTGATATGTTATTCAGATTATAATGTTTCAGATTTGAATTTGAAAAGAAAAAATCACTCTTGATATCATATCAAGTCATCAGGTTGCATTTTTTATTTTTAAACATGTTTTAAGACATGGGTTTGACATTTATTATTGCATTAACTTAGATACATGACTTGGAGATAATTATTGACTATAAATTATTTGAATCCAGAGAGAAAATTTAAAAGGTAATTATGGTTTTGTCATTAATAACATCAATAGATAATAATTAGAGAAATCTACACCCTCGTGCAAATATTGCTACCAAACCATATCTCAAATGCCCATCAACATCCACTTTTCTTCAGTTCATTTTATTAAGAGTTCAATGAATTAATCCCCTTTAAGTATGACATAATCTAAAAATCTTTTTAAAAATTGGAAATAACAACAATTTTATGTATTTAAGTTTTAGATATTAAAACGGTAATATTTACTAATTTATATAGTGTAAATTTTAACGGCTACATAAGAATTATATATGGTAAAGAGATTTATGTTATTTTAAAAACTTCAGCGTGATTTTGTATTATATCATATACCTTGCGGAGTAACTATTTTATAAAATTAGTGGAGACATAATTATTGTGAAATAATACCTTTTTTAGGCAAAAGTTGTAATTAGTTTATGAATTTATCGTTTTTTTAATTTAATTTTATGTAATTTCTTCAAACATAAAACCATTTTCTGAATGATTAATATCTTTTTCTCCTATAAATATATTTTTTATTATTAAGCTCAAAATATGTAATCAACAATCAAGCAGCCCATCATTCCAATTTCCACCTCCAATCATAGTGGGCCATAAGTACAAACATATTTCTATCTTTTTCGTTTAGCGCAATGGCTTTGTCTATTGTCGAAGATTAAAAAAAACCATTATCTGTATGTGGACCATTTCATTTCAGCTCTTTCTGTAGCCAACAATTATAGACATAATAATTCTTTCATCCAGGGTTTTCATAAGTGACAAAAACACCCAATAATAATAAAATATCTTCTGCTACGAACGATGACTTAATTATTAATTTTATTTAACTTATTTAAATAAAATTTAAGGGTAAAATAGTATTTTCACAAATTGAGTGTATTTTTATCACTTTCAGAAACCTCTGGATGCATTTTGCCAACTTCAATTTTTTGTTTTTGTTCATCAATCTGAATCAATTAATCAAGCAAGTTTTGTTTGTCCCCACAATTCTCCCAACAGTTTCTGCACTTTCCTCTAGCTAATTGGCATCAATGTTTTTAGATAGATAGAAGCAGCTTTTGCCTTACGCTTGGGGTTTTATTGATAAGAATTCCAAGTTTTGGATAGAGTAAATTAGAGTCTGTTATATATATAATATAAAGAACATGAGGCAAATTCTTTAAAATATAACGTTTAATGTATTCCACACGGCTGTTGGAGCTTTAATATCATTAAGGTTTTCTTTATAGTTATATCATTATACAAGAAATCTCAAATCAAATTTTAATTTTAAATACAAAGTGTTGGAAACTCAAATATTTTAGTTACAAATTGATGATGTGATACTCGTTGTATAATAGACTCAAATTTTAAACATAGAGAGAAAAAAAAATTTCGTTCTGAAGTTTTGGTCAATTATGAATCTAGAATTTACTCCCGTTGAATTTAACAAACGTTTGCATAATCATTAATTAAAAGATTTTTCCGATTAAAAATCAGAATACCCTCGTTTAATATTGTCCCATTATGTCTATTTCTTAGCAACTATTACAACTATATGACTTATGGTAGACCGTAGACCTAACCCCAGTTGTAAACCACATAAATATCAATAATTATAGTAACAATGGCATATACGATCGCCATGTTTGATAAATTCATAGCAAAAGGAGGAATATATGAAAAATAAATTTCATTGACCATTCTATATTATATTATCTTCATATTATAATGTGTGAAAGGTTATTAAGGTTTTGATAAATGGGGTTGCTTGAACGACCAGAACAAAACAAAGAGTGTTTTCGTTTAAAAATTGATTTCTATATTACACACTCTTGACACATGCATGCTGAATTTTGGGACTCTCTCAGTTTTTCTAATCTTATTAATTAATTAATAAATTTTGTTCAACAAAAGCCAAAAGACCTTTCAATTTTAGTAGATGAGAACGTGTAGCTAAAATAGTTCACCAAATCTTCTTCTTCCTTTTAATCCCCCATCCCCACAACACCTCTCACTTCATATATATATACAAACATAAAGAAGAGATAAATAAAATCATCCCCTCAAAAGAAAAAAGAAAAACAAATTAAACACTTTCAGTTCAGCCATGGAAGATCACAATCAAAGTCCCGTTTGTGTTCTTGATGCCTCCAACTACATCGGTTTTTGGATTCTTAAAGGTCTTCTCAATAAAGGTACACAGTTCATGCAGCTATCCAACAAATGGTAAGTTTAAAATACAGAACTACCTCCGTTCTTTGTCTGAAAAATATCAGCAATTGATCTTGAGAATCAGTTCTTTCTAAATTTGGTTAATAATGGAGTTTTTTTTTGTTGCAGGAGAGAAGAGATACAGAATGAGATAAAGAGATGGAGAAAGTGAATGAGAAAATTATTTTGGTTTGGACGTTGATGTTTTGGATTACCACAGCATTCTTGTTGCTTTGAAGGATTGTTGTGCTTTATTCTGCAGTTTGGATGGCCCAGATGAATATGATGTGAGTTAAATATCATAAAAATTTTCATTACTTTTTTTTTTTCCCAGAAATTTTTACAAAAAAAGTGAGGTTTATTCATGGAGGTTTAATTTGAGTTGCAGGATTCACTGGTGGATTTGGAAGTGAGAGGGGTGATAAATGTGGTTGAAGCTTGTGCCCAAAGTGAGAGTATAGAGAAGGTTGTGTTCACTTCTTCTTTAACTGCTGCTATTTGGAGAGAAGATATTGGTTCAGAGATTGTTGTGGATGAAAGGTCTTGGAGTGATCCAGAATTCTGCAGAAAAATGAAGGTTCGATTAATTAATTAATCTAATCTTTGTTAATTATTATGATTAAGGGTTTTGAATTTTGATTAATTTTTAGTACACTTTTGGCCTTGTTTTCCACAAAGTACTTAACTTATAATTAGATGATTTGGTTCAAGTTATAATTATCAATGTTTCTGATTTTCTTCTCCAATTTTACAGTTATGGTATGCTCTAGCAAAGACACTCTCTGAACAGGCTGCCTGGGCTTTAGCCATGGACAGGATGCTATGCATGGTTTCCATAAATGCAGGATTAGTTTTGGGGCCAAGTGTCACTAAACAAAACCCCGGCTCAACCATGTTCTACCTCAAAGGTGCTGCTGAAATGTACGAGAATGGAGTCCTAGCTTTTGTCGATGTAAACTTCTTAGCGGATGTACATATTCGCGCCTTCGAGGATCGATCAACATGCGGGAGATATTTCTGCTTCAATCAGATTGTGAACACTTCGGAACAAGCTTTTAAACTTGCACAAAGCTTGAGCCCTTTGATTCCTTTACCCCCAAGGTAAAATTTAAATTTAAATGAAATGTCCCATAAATAAGTTGGGGAAATTTCTAAATAAAATAAAAAAGTTTGAAATTTTTTTGTGCTAAATTTTAGGGTTTTTGTATAAATTTTGCAGGTATGAATGTAAAGGAAGTGAAGTGTATGCAGAGAGATTGAAAACCAAGAAACTGGACAAACTGGTTGAGGATGCTGCTTGCTTTTAAAAGATTTTATTAATTTATGTTTTAATAAATACTAATTAGTGTATATTTTGTTGTTTAATTTGAGAAGTAATTCCAATAAATTTCCTCATATTTCTTTGTTGACAATTTGTATTATAGGAGGCCGAGAATATAATGTAAATGTCAAGGCTTTTGCTTTTGCTTTTGCTTTTAATTGTTTTATAACTTCCAATAAAGATTTGCTCATTTTTTTAAGTTTTTTGGTTCAAACATGGAGTCATCTACCACAATAATATTGTGGCTTACCTGATCTTTTAGGTTTGTAGGGTGTTTAATAGACTCTGGGGTTTAGTTGTGGTGCGTACAAACTGACCCGGATACTCTGGTTGCCAAAAAAAAAAAAAAAAAACATATACATACAATTAACCAATTATCAAACACCATATTAACCGTATGTGATATATACTCGACCAATAATTATATCTATAATTGGATAGTGTACCATATGTATGAAATAATCTCTATTGGCGTTGCAATAAACGTTAGTCTTTGTCTTTCTATTGCAAAGTGGGATTGAGAAAAGAAAAAAAGTGGTAAGTCAGAAAATTTTAATACCACTATGTCCAATAGATTTAAGACAAGATAAGATTATGATTAGTTCTTGTCTATGAAATTATAGGATTAGTTCTTGTGTTGAAAGGATGTGTGGCACTGGCACCCCTTTGTCCAATTGCTTGGCATCCTTCCTTTGTCATTTTCATTTTCGACCCCTAAAAGCCTTTTTCTTTTGCTTGGACTTTTCGTCACATGGATTATTTGAAGGAGCCCTTGTGAGACTAATGCTTTCCATATGGCACAACAAAAAATATAGATGGATCCAAGATTTAATGTTAGAAACAATAAGTTATTATTACGATGATAGTTGTGTCCAGGAAAAATAAAATAAACGTTGAATCGTTATCAAATTCTGTAAAAATAATATATGGTTTATAAAGGAATGACTTGATACTATTTATTTTTTATTCCAATTTTGCTTCCATTTGGTTAACAAAAATTACTAAATTTAAAGGATCATTCAATTTACGAACAATCTTTGTAAAACTGGTTCAAAACCGGTTAACCGGTTTTTCGTTTCGGTTTATAACAGGTTGTCTCATAATCGGTTCAGTTCCGGTTTAGAAAAGTTCCTAAACTTGAAATCTGATTCGGGAATTTTCCTAAGTGGAAAATCTAGTTCGGTTCAAGAAAAGGGGAAACCGAACCAGTTAACCGGTTTTAAACACCCCTAATCTTTGTTCTTTAAAAATTACAAGAAAATAATGAGAGAAAAAGGAAAAAAAAAAAAGGCAAACAATCTTGGGCTTGCCTCCATAGACTTACAGCTTGATGGGCCTCCCATATTGTGATTTAAATTTGGACTCTGATTCATTTGGGCTTTTCTGTTGGGCCTATTCAAACATTTGATAAAGAGCACAATTTCTGAGCCGAAAAATTAGTTGAGATGGCCTGAACACCCTTGATTAAAAAAAAAAAAAAAAAAAAAAAGATAAATAAATGTGTTTTCGCAATTTATTTTAGATAGGTTTTCAAAAGACAGTAATGAATATACTTTCAAGTTATTTTCATTTTCAAAGTCATCTTGAAAAAAAAAATGAATGTCAATAATGGAAGTTCTTTTAATGTTAAAAAATCTTAAATTATATTTTAAAAACATTCAAATTATTAAATCTTGAAAATGTGTTTGACATTTCAATTTTTTACAATAAAAAAAATAGAAATAATATGTTAACTGAAAAACTGAAAGCATACCAAATGTTTTCACCCTCTACTCTATTATAATATTTAATATTTGAAGTCCAATCATGAGAGGAGGAAATAGAAAGTGTCAAAAGCCTTAGAGGCTGTACAACATCGTCAACCGTTAGATTGTTGGATAACCATTCTTAAGCTTATTTCTTACGTTTTTCCCAAGCCGTGCATTATTTTTCTTCTCTTTTTGGTTCTCTAATTAAGGCCAATCAAACTTTGAAGTAAAATCAAAATTTTGTCACATGCTCAATTATTGGTGGGTATTCCACGTTAATAAGATAAGAGTAAGATTTTTATTACGAGTCCCTTTCGTCGCTGCTACCTACGTTTTATGGCTTCATAGGTCAATATACTTAATATATTAGTTTATGGATGGCTGATATGTTATTCAGATTATAATGTTTCAGATTTGAATTTGAAAAGAAAAAATCACTCTTGATATCATATCAAGTCATCAGGTTGACATTTTTTATTTTTAAACATGTTTTAAGACATGGGTTTGACATTTATTATTGCATTAACTTAGATACATGACTTGGAGATAATTATTGACTATAAATTATTTGAATCCAGAGAGAAAATTTAAAAGGTAATTATGGTTTTGTCATTAATAACATCAATAGATAATAATTAGAGAAATCTACACCCTCGTGCAAATATTGCTACCAAACCATATCTCAAATGCCCATCAACATCCACTTTTCTTAGTTCATTTTATTAAGAGTTCAATGAATTAATCCCCTTTAAGTATGACATAATCTAAAAATCTTTTTAAAAATTGGAAATAACAACAATTTTATGTATTTAAGTTTTAGATATTAAAACGGTAATATTTACTAATTTATATAGTGTAAATTTTAACGGCTACATAAGAATTATATATGGTAAAGAGATTTATGTTATTTTAAAAACTTCAGCGTGATTTTGTATTATATCATATACCTTGCGGAGTAACTATTTTATAAAATTAGTGGAGACATAATTATTGTGAAATAATACCTTTTTTAGGCAAAAGTTGTAATTAGTTTATGAATTTATCGTTTTTTTAATTTAATTTTATGTAATTTCTTCAAACATAAAACCATTTTCTGAATGATTAATATCTTTTTCTCCTATAAATATATTTTTTATTATTAAGCTCAAAATATGTAATCAACAATCAAGCAGCCCATCATTCCAATTTCCACCTCCAATCATAGTGGGCCATAAGTACAACATATTTCTATCTTTTTCGTTTAGCGCAATGGCTTTGTCTATTGTCGAAGATTAAAAAAAACCATTATCTGTATGTGGACCATTTCATTTCAGCTCTTTCTGTAGCCAACAATTATAGACATAATAATTCTTTCATCCAGGGTTTTCATAAGTGACAAAACACCCAATAATAATAAAATATCTTCTGCTACGAACGATGACTTAATTATTAATTTTATTAACTTATTTAAATAAAATTTAAGGGTAAAATAGTATTTTCACAAATTGAGTGTATTTTTATCACTTTCAGAAACCTCTGGATGCATTTTGCCAACTTCAATTTTTTGTTTTTTTCATCAATCTGAATCAATTAATCAAGCAAGTTTTGTTTGTCCCCACAATTCTCCCAACAGTTTCTGCACTTTCCTCTAGCTAATTGGCATCAATGTTTTTAGATAGATAGAAGCAGCTTTTGCCTTACGCTTGGGGTTTTATTGATAAGAATTCCAAGTTTTGGATAGAGTAAATTAGAGTCTGTTATATATATATATAAAGAACATGAGGCAAATTCTTTAAAATATAACGTTTAATGTATTCCACACGGCTGTTGGAGCTTTAATATCATTAAGGTTTTCTTTATAGTTATATTCATTATACAAGAAATCTCAAATCAAATTTTAATTTTAAATACAAAGTGTTGGAAACTCAAATATTTTAGTTACAAATTGATGATGTGATACTCGTTGTATAATAGACTCAAATTTTAAACATAGAGAGAAAAAAAAATTTCGTTCTGAAGTTTTGGTCAATTATGAATCTAGAATTTACTCCCGTTGAATTTAACAAACGTTTGCATAATCATTAATTAAAAGATTTTTCCGATTAAAAATCAGAATACCCTCGTTTAATATTGTCCCATTATGTCTATTTCTTAGCAACTATTACAACTATATGACTTATGGTAGACCGTAGACCTAACCCCAGTTGTAAACCACATAAATATCAATAATTATAGTAACAATGGCATATACGATCGCCATGTTTGATAAATTCATAGCAAAAGGAGGAATATATGAAAAATAAATTTCATTGACGCATTCTATATCTTATTATCTTCATATTATAATGTGTGAAAGGTTATTAAGGTTTTGATAAATGGGGTTGCTTGAACGACCAGAACAAAACAAAGAGTGTTTTCGTTTAAAAATTGATTTCTATATTACACACTCTTGACACATGCATGCTGAATTTTGGGACTCTCTCAGTTTTTCTAATCTTATTAATTAATTAATAAATTTTGTTCAACAAAAGCCAAAAGACCTTTCAATTTTAGTAGATGAGAACGTGTAGCTAAAATAGTTCACCAAATCTTCTTCTTCCTTTTAATCCCCCATCCCCACAACACCTCTCACTTCATATATATATACAAACATAAAGAAGAGATAAATAAAATCATCCCCTCAAAAGAAAAAAGAAAAACAAATTAAACACTTTCAGTTCAGCCATGGAAGATCACAATCAAAGTTCCCGTTTGTGTTCTTGATGCCTCCAACTACATCGGTTTTGGATTCTTAAAGGTCTTCTCAATAAAGGTACACAGTTCATGCAGCTATCCAACAAATGGTAAGTTTAAAATACAGAACTACCTCCGTTCTTTGTCTGAAAAATATCAGCAATTGATCTTGAGAATCAGTTCTTTCTAAATTTGGTTAATAATGGAGTTTTTTTTTGTTGCAGGAGAGAAGAGATACAGAATGAGATAAAGAGATGGAGAAAGTGAATGAGAAATTATTTTGTTTGAGTTGATTGTTGGATTACCACAGCATTCTTGTTGCTTTGAAGGATTGTTGGCCGTTGGTGGTCTCTGATTCTATATTGCTTTCAGTATTTTTGTTGATATGCATATTTTTCCGTGTACAAAATGGGGCAGAAAGAAGGCACTGTCTTCATCCTTTGTTGGATGTTTCCCCTAGAGTGGGCCAACTATATACGGCCTTTTCTTTTTATATTTTACAGCTCATCAATACTATCCCTCTGGAACTTCATTCATCCTACAATTATTGATATATTATTTGCTTGGTTTCCTGTTCTGAACAAATGAATGAAGCTGATTTGTTTTCTGTCTAGATCAGCCTGGGTGTTCC